GGTTTGGGAGAGACCTTGTTTCCCCTAGCACCCCCTGGCATAACAAGGAATAACGGCCACAAGTTGTTGGGGAGTAGGTTTAGATTAGACATCCGTAAGAACTACTTTACAGTCAGGACGGCTAGGATCTGGAACCAACTTCCAAGGGAAGTGGTGCTGGCTCCTACCCTGGGGGTCTTGAAGAGGAGGCTTGATGCCTACCTAGCTGGGATCATTTGAGCCCAGTTTTTTTTCTCCTGCCCAGGCAGGGGGTCGGACTTGAAGATCTACAAGGTCCCTCCCGACCCAACTTCCATGATTCTATGATTCTATGAAGTACTGTTTGCAAGTCAAATTGTCATCATTGTTACCTGTCACCTGAATTTATGAAGGATCCAACAAAAGCAGGTAAAGTCAATCAATCTAACTATCTCAATCAAATGTCAATTGAAGGATTTGTAGTGGTGTGATGAGTGCATGCTTGACTCAACAGGCCAATTTGTGACAAAAAGCTTCAACTACTTCCCTGTAGTGCCATTCACCCTCCTGCAGTAAATGCACGGCCTGTGACTTCTGCAGCTGACTCTCCTCAAGCTTTATACACATCTCTAAAGTTTGGTACGGTGTTACTACTTGACATTCTCCTTGAATCTCATATGTCTGCCTGCAGCCAAGGAGTCATGTCAGTCTACTGGCATCCTGTTACAAGATGGCACTTCAGGAGATCCCTAATGGACAAAGGGGTCATAATCATTAAGAAGTTATTAGCAAATTGTCCTCTTTTTATCTGACAACTTTTGAATGACGTTGTTATCTGCTTCTACTTAACCCTGGGGATGCTAGGTTCACTTTAGTGATACAGTAGTGTCCCAAAGAGCAGTGTAGCAACAGGTAAGGCCTTGAGCTATTTGCCATAGCCAAACAGAAGTCAGCTTTTCATATAACTCTGTTCACTTTTCAGCCAGTCCATCTTTAGTCTTTTTTGGAAACTTTTCTGTAATTATGTAACATTTTGACTGAATTTTCAGCTAGCTTTAAACAAATCATCTGACAATCTGTTCTGCAGTCAGATCTTTGCATGACTTGAATGGCCTTGACATTATTAAGGTCTCTTTGCTTCACAATAATGTAGTCAATGAGGCACTGATGGGATTGCAAATGCATCTATGAAGCCTTTCTATTTTCTGCTTGCCAAAAACCATATTTGTAATAACCAGCTTATGTCTGACACTGCTACAGAAACATATGGCCACTAGCATTAGCAGACCCAATGCTTTGCCTGCCCAGTATACAATGCCAAGTGGAAAAAATCTATCCTGACATATGTATTGAAGTCTCTCTGGGAAACCAGCCTGTCTGATTTGGGAGTGATGGAGATAGTTGCATCCAGGTAGGATTCTCCTCTTCGCCACCAAACAGTGCCGGTGCATGCATATTATGAAACAGTGTTTCATCCCTTCGTTGGTGGGGCATGCATGTACATCAGTCTATCACTGATATCTTCTGGACTGCATAGCCACTGCCTGACAAGGTCAGATTAAATAGCTAAACCGATGCCACCAAAACACAGTTCCCCAGCTGGCTGTCCTCACCAAAAAAGTTTTAGTCATCAGCCATATCTCACTCAATAACATCAGTATTATAGCAGTCCAGTTTTCTTATGATAAGCACTGTCCTGCAAGCAGGCCAGTTTGCTTCAGATCTACCCAGCAATTTGAAGGCTTTCCCAAGTGCTACATTAAGAGAACAATATTTCTTCCTTGGTGTTCATATATGAAAAAGATAGCTCACCAGCCATGGCTATCTTGTCAGGCCTGTATGAAGGACAGGCTTCTTGAAGAGCACCTATGCTAGATCCACTCCTTTCAGGGTGAGCAGTGGCATTTCCAAAAGGAGATGCTCAGTCACCCAGCAGATTATGGGAGGTGCTGACAACCTCCACCTCAGACATTCAGTGATTGTGATGTGGGCTGCCTCCATGCAGGTTCATGACTGTGACTTTCAGCATCACTGCCTGTCACACTGCCTCACCTTCAGAAGATGCCATGGCTGTGACAGCAAGTGAATGGATTGAAATGGCAGCAACTTGCGCAGGCACTTTTCCAGTGCTTTCCCTTTAGCTCAGTGGAACAGCAAAAGCAGCTACAACTGGAAAGGGCTAGGAAGGTAGTTTCTAACTGCCAATGACCTACTCCAATGACACTGCTCATGCAGTTTGGTAACATCATGTCTTCCTATTGGAGGGATCTGTACCCTGCAGCACTTGAAGTTCAGCCATTGACTAGCACTGGTTCATCAGCTACTTCTGCCAGTAACATCTTACATATTTGGCATCATCTGCCCTCACTGCTGAAATGACCATCTCTAAGTAGCAGGAAGACTACCACGCATTGCTTGATGCCATTATGATTGTCAGCCACTTCACTGAGCAGCAGATATCACCAGTGTGGCTTGATCTAGCTTACCTATTTGTCTGGCCCTACCATGCAAACCCCCACTGGTATAGTTTCTTCTGTCATTCTGACGCACAAGATCTGTAACCTATGGGATGAGAAGCAAAACAGAGCAATCCAACTATAATAGCAATCCAAATTCAGGATGGAGTATTGCACAGATACTGAACCTGGTTCTGATCTTACACTCATTTTACAGCAGGGGTTTCAGTAAAATTATTCTTGATTTACACTGAAGCAAAATATTTATTTAAATAATTATGTTAGAGGTTGTTCGGACTTACCTTTTAGCTTCTAAGTCTTAGCATTCACATTTTTTTCTATAAAATGAAGGTGAACAGCCAAGATTCCCCAATTACCTGATTCTAGAAGCTGGATATAGTCTTGCAAATATTGCAAGAATTGACAATAGCACTAATGTGATGTCTAAATCCACCCCATTCCAGATGCTGGGGAAGAGCATAGTGCACAGACAGACTGTGGTTCCTGCTGGGAGCCTGTTTGCTTCAGTGGTCTATAGGGGAGCAGGTATCTGCTGATATGCATTACAGAAACAGTATCTCTTAAAAGACATCTTACCTTTGAGCTTCTCTCTCAGACTATCTCTGCCCCCTGCATGCCTATATAACCTTTTGCCCATATATCTTTGTACCATCTTTATCCTGCTCTTAAAATGAAGGACAATTTCATGTTTCTCAATTAGCTTAACAAAAACAATTATCCAAGTATCTGGTGAGGAACAAGGTTTGAAGGAGCGTATCTGTTCATGATGTGTGACTGAACCAGGAGACTGAAAGTTAAAGTGCTCCAGCAGCTGAAAAATGTGTACGGAGTTTTACCCTCGAACTCCTGGCAGCCTCAGTTGGCTTATAGACTTCGGTTGGGGAAGAAGGCGTTAAATTCTTGTGAGAAAAATAGCCACTTGCACCATTGTAAGGATACTTGACACAATTCCTTTATTTTCTTAGCACTTCAAAGGCATTTATAAAAAACTCCATTCAAACCTTGATCTTTAAGTATTTGACTGAGATTTGATTTATGCTTTGAAAATGTGCTCCTAATAAATTGCTTCTATAACTTCATTTATCAGAAGGCAATGCCAGGTTTATAATGACTACACCTGATAATGAGCACTCTTGGAATCCGTATCACAAGACACCGGTGAAGAAATATCTCAGCATGATTTTTTTCTGGTAAAATGCTTGTAATAAATCAATTCAATTTTGCCCACAAGCCAGTGTGTGCTGAGAAACAGTTTGAAATCCTATTTCTAAAACACTTTTGAAGTCTATTGACACTTGGAGTGGATATATACTTTTAAAAAATTGTAGCTATAGTTAAACCTTTGCCTGGCAAGTTCAGAATAGTTGTCTTTTGACCAACTATTAGTTTAGTTTCAGATTACGTCTCACTGATTTGTGTCAGATTCTGTCTACAAAGAAACGCTGTATTTTTCTTACGTATGTTCCCTATGCATTACATAAAGAAATCTCAGGGAAAGTTGTCAAAGGACAAGTGAAAAAGATGATCTAGACAGGTCTACATTTTTCCCACTGTTTTGTTTTGTTTTGACGATTGTTTTTAAAGTTTCCACCCAAAGCTGTACAAATTAATTATAAATTATTTTACAAAATGAGCACCTCTACAAGCCAAGTGTTATATTTTCCCCGTGAATAGAACACTCTAAAATTACACATCCTAATGTATCAAAGTCCTGTAACATCTCTTACTAGGTTTAAGCTACCGGCTCAAAGTAGTAAACATTTGGTTGAAAGCAGCTGATTATTTTAATCATAGTAGCATTTAACATGCATTAAGCACTGTCCCAGCCCTGAAGAGCTTGCAGTCAAGAAGATAAATGACAAATGAAAGGTATAAATAGAACAGATAACAACTATAATCATTTGTGGGGAGTGTATGTTAGATATCTTCTAGCCCAATCAACTTTGACTTATTATTTACTACTATTACTAGTCAGTTAATGGTGCCTGTGTGTCAGAGTCACAGGCTCTGAAACAGAGCAATACAGTGGCCTTGCAGGAACTAGGGGAGGGCATCCCATATCTATAAAGGAGTATTTCTTTGGTTGGCAAGAAATGCACAGAGAGGTTTAACTGAGGCCACGCTTCAAAGTGAAGACCTATGGCACTTAAGAAAGGGAACATGAAAAGAGCACTCTGGGACAGACATGGAGGGCACAACCTTATTTGTGCCCTAACAAACCTTTGACAGGACAGAAATGATTTAGATGCAAGTCATCGATGCAGATTTTCTTTCTTGTCCTTGGACAGACACAAGAGACCACTGATACAAATTTATGTGCAGGTTGTGTATAGGCTTGTTTGTTAATTTATTATTATTTATGATGATCAACTTTCATCCAAATCTGCATACATCCACAGTTGCTGTCCTGTATAAAGAAGTTAATTTTTAGGGACAGGAAAGCAGAAGAGAATAAGCATCACGCTACTAAGCATGAGAACAAACATAACACCTCCAGCACAGACATATCACTTGGCTAGGTTTTTAACCAGATGGAATGATTCCTTCAGCATGAGGTGTTACAGAAAATATTAGTTGGTCATTCAAAAGGCAGCATTTCTACCCAAATCCATAGTGATGTAGTGACCTTGAAGCTTCAGCTTGTTGTGCAGGACTGAGTTCCAACCCCCTTGTAAATTTTGGGGATCCTAATTCTTACTTTCATATTTTTTATGTGTGTCTACACATGACATTTTACTGGATAGATTAATCTACTGTGCAGTAAAGCATCACTGTCTACATGTGCACACCATTTACTGCACAGTAAATTAGCTTACTGCACAGTTAACTACTACCTGTAAATACAGGTAGTAAACTAACTGCGTAGTACATACAGCACAATAGTATATGTGTAGATGCTGACCAGGAGCAAATTTGCTCCCTGTCAGCCCCAACACCAGGGAACTCCCCTGGTCCTGGCACTACACAGCTTCTGGCTCCCCCCAGCTCCTGCTTCTAGGGCAGCTCCTAGCCAGCTCCTGGCTGGGTGGAGATTTTCCTGTGCAGCTGAGAGCTGGCCAGGAGCTGTCCCAGAAACAGCACAGCACCTAGGTCAGCCTCTGGCTGCTCAGAGAAATCCCCACCCAGTTCACAGCTGGCTGGGAGCTGCCCCAGAAGCAGGACAGCTCCCAGCCAGCCCCCAGCTGCACAGCATGGGACAAGAGAGCTCTGCAGCAACAGTGTCTCCTGGTCCCATGCACATCAGGCCCTCCCCCCCGATGTGTACAAGGCAAGGAGCCAGCTGGCAGAGCTCTCCTGTCTCCATGTGCATGGGGACCAGCCCTGTGCTCCCTGCCAGCCCTGGGCTAGCAATCTGGGGGAACGTGGAGCTCCCCCTAGCTGCTGCTGCAGGGGGCCAGAGCAGGGTAGGAGCAGTCTGACTGCATCCAGACGAGCATGGCCATGAGATATGTGGCACTGCAGACTCATCTGAGGTATCACACACCATGCATTCAGGCATTCCCTGCACTGCTACTTTGCAGCATGCCGGGGGGTGGGGTGGGGGGCGGCGATTGACCCTAGGAGATCCTGGGATCAAAAAACCCCACATGGAAAAAAAGTGGGGCAGTGCATGTGGCAGCAGCGCATGCCACCCTAAACCAGAGCTTGGCCAACTGGAGCTGCAGGAGCTCCTAGCTGCAACATCCCTGCAGCTGCAACTTCCCTGCTCCCTGGGACCCTATGTAAGGCTGCTGGGGCCAGCACAGTTGCTAGCCTCAACCTCCCCTACCC